TGCAGAAAACAGAAACTACTTGAAAGTTTGAGAAAATGTATGGTGCTCCCATAAAAGGTAAAGAAACGTTGAAGTAGATGAGATAGATAAAGCTATAAAATTATTTGACGAAGTTGCTGAAAAATACATGTAAAGCGTTTATTTTTGGTCTTTTGTGAAAGTCCAGAAAATAAAGTTAGTGTCATTTTTGTATTTTTTTGTATGTAAGATAGATTTCAGGGATTTTTTTGACGAAGTGTCAACCTCACTTCGTCAAAAAATAACAGTTATCTAATGAAAAAGTGTCCATTTTTTTGTATTTTTTTGTATAAAAGATATGATTTCAGGATTTTTTTGACGAAAGTGTCCAACCTTCACTTCGTGTCATAATGTAAAAATAACGTTACCAATGTTAAACAACGCTTGTGAAAAAAAGAGGTGAAAAAACAGGTGAGATCTCACCTCTTCACCTAAACATTATTTTTGCTGGAAAAATGACCAAATTTCAATGAGTTTTTTGTGTGCTTTAGACCATGTTAGAAAAACTGTTAGAAAACGTGTTAGATCTAACATTCTAACATAAAAATATATTTTCTGTGCTGAAAAATGACCAAATTTCATGAATTTCCTTAAGATAGAAAAAATAACGCTAATTTTTTATAAAATATTTTTTATTTTGTATGTAAAGAGATATGTCACAACAGAGAACACAACAAACTGCTATCGTTCATGAAGCCATAAATGAAGAATACGAGTACATACAGTTTAACAAACAACTCCGTCTCATTCGTTCGGTCAAAGACGATATGTACCAAATGCAAAGTATTTTTGACAGCATTTTTTTGCTCCAGATACCAAACATACAGACGATTGGTTCAAAAACCAAAGCACACAAGAACTTTTGAGCGAAGCACCAGCGAGACCGATTTTATCTGGGTCGCCTAAAACCCATGAAAATCGTAAAATTTGCCAAATGGTTTGAGAGGTTGGTATGTACATAGACTTTTTTGTAAAATGCTGTTGCAATGTGGGCTTCGCCTCGTTATGCTTGGTATATTTACATGACTTCTTGACGAAATTCATAGACAAGAACGTGAAGAGATGGAAAAGAAACTTCATGCAAAAGATATGAAAGTCATTGAAGCAAAAGACAAAAGCATTCAGAAAAGAATACCACGTTCGGTACCAAAAGGAAAGGAAAAGAACTATAAGTAATATGATTTATACTGAAGAGATGGAAAATGAAGAAGACAGAGATATGGTTATGTTGCATTTAGTCAGAAGAAACAACAAAGCTTTTACGACCTTGCTAAGATTTACAAATCTGACAGAAAATTGGTTCTATCGCGAAAACTTACCGATTTCAATGACACCGGAATGAAGATGTGAAACAAATAGTTCAAGATACGTTACCTCAAACACACTATGATATTAAAGGTTGTACAATACTTACATTCAAAGAAGATTTGTCATTGTTATAAGAAAAAAATAACAGAGTATTTTTGACAACTTCAAACAAGTAGGGTAGATGAACCATTTATTTTTACGCTTGACTTCAGATGGCTCAAGTAGCTCAATTAGGTAAATTGCCTCGTCAAATCCTTCTGGCATTCCGAGTCCTTCCATCCGACAGGAAAATATTTTCCCGACAACTGGAAAAAATTTTCCGGACAAAAGAAAAAATTTTTCCTTCGACAGAAAAAATTTTCCAGTTGTCCGTCCGTAAACCAATTCAAATTTTCGAAAATTGAAGAACTTTTTGGTCGAACTTCAGAAAAAAGTTTTTCCTTCCAACAGAAAAAATTTTTCCTTCCAACAGGAAAAGTTCTTCCATCCGACAGGACAACAAACGGATGACTGACGTTCCTCTTCCTGAATGCCTTCCAAGCCAGAAGAACCGAAAGCTGCGAGAACACAACAGACTTACTTACTAGACTAAACACTTAGATTTTTCAAGCTTGACTTTTTACAATTTGAACTTTGTTTGCGTAGATATGAATTCTGAAAGAAGTATGAGGGTCTTGTATACTTTATATCTTCTCCCATATGTTCATGTCTGTCAAACTTACCTGCCATGGACTCTTTCATAAGTTCCATGAAATCGTCTTCGGACAATCCGGGGAAAAGTACAATGTCAGTAAGTATTCTCTTTACATCTTTACTTAAACTCTTTGCTGTCTGTACACAAATGACAATGAGATGTTAAGTGTCTGAGCTTCTTAAGAATTCGACACATGTCTGTTCTCTGTTCTTTAACAAAGGATGAGAAGCAAAGTCATCTAAGATAAGAAGACACCTATGAGGGTAAGTCTTCCAATCGTAAGATTGCAATTTCTTCGAAATGTATTCTATCTCTTTCTGTTGTTTCTGAGTGTTTCTTCTCTATATTCTCTGCATTTCTCACTTGGGTCTTTGAACTTAGAATTTATATACTCATTTATAGCATTATACTTCAAAACTCTTCTTTGGTACTTCTTTATCCAATCTAAAACTCAGAGTCTTTTATACATACTAACTTAGACTCTTTATAATATCTTTGAACGAATTGACGGTTTGGTCAAATTGACCAGAAGTACTACAAATGACAACTAACTCATAGAATGGGTTCTTCTCATCTAGTTCTTGTTGTTGTGCAGCCATTTTAAGATAAGTGAAAGTCTTACCCGACCCAGGTGGTGCAATTAGACCTGTTATACCATTCTGAGCAAATAAGAACTTGTCATGTATAGGTTTTATCTGAGCATTTTCTAACTTCCTCTTGTTCTTGTTTAAAACATTCTCAAATTTTTTGTCAATGTCAGCAAACTTTTTTTCTAACATATTTTAGAAAAATAAAAATTTTTATCTTTTAGAAAATGTCTAGCGATTTCGCTATCTATATTCGAGACAAGCTTTTCGACAGCAAAACATCTGTCGACCATAAAATCTTCATAGTGTAAAACAAAAGGTGAATTTGTTCTAAAGTTCTGTTTCTGGGAATATGACAAGAACCATAAAACATTAAGCAAGCAGTCTTAAAATTTGTCAATGACAGACTTGTTGACAGAGATGACGCGATTGGAAAGATGAAGTCCAACAAAAGTTTCTTAGAATGCAAAGAAGACACATGCGCTGTTCTTGAAGATGAAATAGAAAACAGAATAGATGAGCTATTAAAGGACAAAGAACTTTTACATAAATATGGTTCGGAGAAATTTGACATAACTCCACCAGAAAGAAGAAGAAAGAAAAGAAAGAGAAAAAAGAAGAAGAGAAGAGAACCTGAACCAGTTCCAGAGAAAAAGAAATTTGACATGTAAAAATAAAATTTTTATTTTAGAACTTCTGGGTCAATGTCAATGTTCTCTTCCTCTTTAGGAGCAAACACTGGCTTAGACTCTAAAATCTTTTTTACCCAATTTACCTTGAACTTCTACAACTTAGACTCATATATTCATAGTCGTCTGCTTTCTTTGGTTCATAAGGTATAACAAGTTTGTATGCTTTGCCTTCTTTAAGGTTTGAAAACCTTCTGTCAAAACTTTCTTTGACTGCTAACAAACCTTCTATGTCTAAGTCTTCAAATTTCGCACCATTTTTAGTCACAATAGCAAACTTAACTGGTTCGATGTTCCAAACTTTGCTGAATGAAGACTTTTCAAAATGGTAGAAGTAAACATTCAAATATGTGAATGGGTCTAGTTCTTCTTTAAGTCCTGACATGTACTTGTTTACTGAGATGAATTTTGCCATCTTTTCTATCGGATAAAAAAATATTTTTTTTAATTTACTCAGAAAATTTTTCTTTGTATATACACATTCTGAACATCTAAAAGACTTTTGACATTTGCCAAGAATGTTCGTTTAGACGCTGTCATATAACCATATTCTTGACAATATTGTTTATACGAATCGTACAATGACCTTTCATCTAATGACACAAAGTCAGTTTCATCTATGAACAGTTCATATACACTCTTGTTTGCTTCTAACAATGTTTGTCTCTCTTCGGTATGTGGAATTTGTCTTGGATTGAACTTTGAAATATCTAATGTCATAAAAATATGAGAACAAGTGGTTGTAAAAGTCAGATGTCAAAGTTTCTGCTAAGTCGTCAAAATATTCTGTATCTTGCATATGAGAATCTGACGTTCTGACAACTACATATCTTCTGTCAGAACTTTCTAACTTCATCGGAACAGCATTGTTTGAAACCATAATGAAGTTTGCAACATTTTCACAAACTCTTTGGTCTTTATATTTTCTTTCAACAACTCCAACTTTGTCTGTTATAAGACTTTCAAAGCATCTGAGTTTAAAACTTTTGTTGTATCTATACTTTGAAGTTCGTTACATACTATAAGTTTCATATTCTCTATTGAAGAGTTAAACTTGCCAAGATGTTTTCTAAGTTTGTCATATTCGGATTCGAATAGCCCTCTAACAGTTTGCATAAGATATCTGTAAAGAATGTGTTCTTACCTGTTCCTTGTTTTCAATTATAATGAGAGCAGTTTCATTTTTAGCACTTGGATGTTGTAAGATGTTTGCAAACCAACATAAGATATACTCATAAACCTTTTCGTTTCCATTGCATATAATTTCTTTGACATGGTCTAACCAAGCTTCTATAATATTTTCTTTCCATTCTACTTGTTCATATTTATATCCAGTGAAGATGAATAGAAGTTTGGAGAAGGTGTATAGATTTATACTCGAACTGAAAAATCTTCTAACTTTGACAATAAGATATCCCAAGCATCTAACATCTTCATTCCAACTTGTACAACTTTTATTTTCTTAAGTTTCTGTCTACATTCTTGTTCAGACACTATTGTTGCTCTTGGTTTGTTAAAGACAACATCCCATTCTTTCATGACATAACATTCTGGGGCAGAGTCAACATAAATGACTAAACGTTTCAAATTCTCGACTGCTTTGTTATAGTCTCGAAATGGACACATATTTCTGAATGCTTGGAAGTCATAAAAATCTGAAACATCTATTCTGTACATTTTTATAAAAATAAAACAATATTTTTTTTATTCTTGACTTTGTTGTTGCATTTGTTGCATTTGTTGCATTTGTTGTTCTTGAGCTATTTGTTGTTGAAGTTGTTCTTGTAATACAATACTTTCACCAGTTGCATCTTCCAATTCGAAACTTTCTGCCGTCATTGACAAATACATAGGACATAAAAGTTTTACAGGAACAAAGTTTGCGTCAACTAATGTCAACGTTATACTTGCCAAAGTGTTTGAGTTCACTAAGGTTGAAAATTCTGCATTCGAATGAACAATAGGCAAACCAGCAGAGAAAGTATTGTTTATACGCATAAGTATCTTTTGGTCATAATAGTTTCTGTCGACATTCGAATAACACTTTGAACCTAAGTTTTGAAACAATATATAAGATTGGTGTGCTTAATGTCAATGGAATAGACATTCCTTGTATGACACCTTTTCCTGTTATAGGAAAACTGTTGGTAGTAAAAACCAGAAATAAGTTTTGTATTATAGCTCATATCGTTTATAGTAAACTCAGTCGGACATCCAAACATAATGAAACCTGCTCTAGTTGCAGCACATGTTACACCCGTACTTAAAGTATTAAATAAGTCAACAAAACCTGTTGGTGGTATATCTGAGTAAGTATCTTCAAAGGAGTATTTTTTACCATTCACAACAATAAAGTCTTCTGGTGTCAAAAGAGCAAAACAGGCTTTAGTCGTCATTGTGTTTAAGGTTAGTTTACAATATCGTCCTTGAGGACTTTGTAAGTTTGTTGTTATAGAATTATATGACTCAGGGTTTTTAGTCGTAATAAGTATAACCATTATGTCTTCTGCCATTTACTTAGCAAATAAACTTTAATGAAATGTTGTGGTCGTCAAATATTTTTATAACGTCTGGGAAACTATACTTTAAGTTCAACGTTTCACCTCCTTTCATAACGTATATCTTGTCAATGACATTATATGAAACACCACAGCAACTAATGTCGGGTTCTATTTCTTTGATGTTTATATCATCTGCCTCTGTCAAAGTTTCAATAGTTCTTTCAGACTTCATGAGGTGCAATGACATATGAGTTCACTTTTACAGGGTTGTGTTCGACCAAGTTTAACATTATACCTAAAGCTTGACAAATCTTCTCCTGAGTTTGAAGTTTGGTCTTTCAGTTGTTGGTAGTCGTTTCGAATATCTGCAACAGAACTTAAGTCTCTGCTAACTTCAGGATATGTTGGTTGTTCTTTTACAGGAACAATTGTTATACCATCTTCGTCTTCGTATGGTTTCCCCACTTCAACATCTCTGTCTTTGACATTGACAATAACACTTTGACTGTTTGTTTGAGTTGGTGAATTTAACTTCACATCTGCCACCGCCCTTAAAACCTTTTGAAACACTCACGCTTCTATTTTTCGGAAATGACATTTTACTTAGAATAAAAAGATGGACGTATTCGGATATCTCTTTGAATTGAAGCAGAACAAAGTTTACACACACAAACAATACAAATACATTGACAGAATAGTTCTTTATACAAACAATGGTAAATGTTATAGAATAGCAATATTTGCTGAACCAAAATATTTCCATAAAGCAAGAAAGTTGGTATAACTGAAATGGTGAAAGTTCTTGACGTTTGACAAAAATATAACACAAAACTTACAGATATTTCTAAAGGTAAGTTTATCTTACAATATTGTCAAAACTGGCGTACTGTCAATAATTTGACGGAGAGAAGTCAGTTCAAGAACAACTTACTGACCTGCTGCCAAAATCTGCTCGATGGAAGCTGTCGTTATGCAATCTGAGGAGCCCCAGCAGGTTTCATCGAACGAATCTTCAAAAGAGCATCTTCCGTGAAAAGTGCTATTGGTTTTGTAAACTTCTTTGCTCTCAGTTCATCTGGACGCGTCTCTGTCACCAGTATATTGTATTTGTACAGTACCAACAGTTGAAATACCACCATAAAATCTTCTGAGTCAGCAAATGGAATGCCAAGCCAAAAGTTTGAACGGTCTCCATTGTAATTTGAGTTTTTTGACCTCCTGTATGAGTCCATACTTTCACATATGGCATAATAGAACTTTGCATTTCAGGGTTAATGGTTGTTGTGAAGTTGTTGTTAAAGTTCATAGCATCTAATGTCAAGTTGTATGACCTCATATCCTCAACTGTAGAATATTCTTCTCTTGGATAATATTTGCCATCTATGTTTATATGATATTTAATACCGGGGTTGTAGAAACAAGAATAGTCATTTATAGTTCGTCTGAACAGTACAAACATAGTATCTGCATGTTTCATTGCAGTTGTTAAAGCAATATCTGTTCTTGCACCTGGGTCAGCACTTTGGTTTCCAACTTCACCTGCAAAGTCTTTGACAGATATTTGGTGTATAGGGAACATAAGTGGAACTGCAATATATTTGGCAGCTAAAGCATTTGAAATATCTGGGTCCAACATATAGACTGCAAGTCTGCTTTCTATTCTCTTGCATTCAAATTTTTCGCATGTGAACTTAACTGGGTCCCAAGCAGTTCCAGCAGCATTGAAATAATAGTTTACTTCATTGTTGAAGTTTGAGAAACCAAAGTCTAAGTCAACTTTGTCTTTGCAAAAGTCACAGAACTTGGCTCCACCAGTTCCAGCACAGTAATGCTGAATGGGTCTTGTGTTGGTGCAATGACTAAGTTATTTTTGCTTGGAGTAAGTTCGATAGAAATTTTTCCTGCCCAGTTTGGCAAGTATCTTAAAAACCTGAAGATGAGGAAAGATGACAAAGGAACTCTAAGTTTCAGTTTTACTTTAGTGGCAGCAGTTCCATCTGAACCAGAAAGGTTAACATAAACTCCTGGAACGTTAGGGTCAAGTCTTCTTATTTTCTCAATATTTGCATACTGGTCTGTTTGTTCTCTAGCTTGTGGCTGTACTGAGTTTCTCAAAGCGAACCATTCATAGTTTGCCCATGTTACTGTTTGAACTAAGTCAGAGTTAGAATATATCTTATATCCCATGAAAACTTCTGGAGCATATTGGTATCCGACATAGAAAATTCCATTGCAACCTTTCTTGTCAGACAACTTGGCAGAAGGTTTTATTTCAATGTCTTGTTCCACGTATAAGAATGAGTTGTCAATAGAAATAATATGAAACCTGTCGCAAGCAATATCTACTGTTGTTGAAGAACCTTCTCCAAACTCACCTACGTTTCCATAAAAACAGCAGTTGTATATTCGTAAGTTCCAGGAACTATTTCTGACCTTCTAATGGCATTGTCGCATTCGTTATACCATTCGGAAACATTTCCGTTCATGGCATCCAAAACTGTTGGCGTTATATTCTGAGCGGCGTACATTTCATATGGGTAAAAATATAGAATAGTTGGATTTATATATCATAATAGAACCACTCGGACCAAGCTTTACTTTCTTCCTGACTGAGTTTTTAACTCTTCTTTTTCCTTCATTGCCACTACTTTCACTAGATGAAGTTACTTCTTCACTATTTTCACTTTGTTCTACTCTTCTTCTTTGGTGTCGCTTTTGGTAACTTGCCCTCTGCTTCAAGTTGTTGCATCTTTGCCTCATGTTCACCTAGTATGTTGTAAATTTCCCATGTCCTTTTTGCCTTTGGGCTCTGGTCGCCCATCTCAGGTAACCTATATCCTAGAAAGATTTTGTCATAGTTTGTATTTGAGTCTTCGCGTATTGTTTGCATGACTCTTTCCTGAGTTTCCGGTTCAAGCTCTTCAAACAGAGCTTGTCCATATGGAATAAGCTCGTTTCCAAATATATGTTTTTGTAGCCATTCTGGTTTTCTTTCCATGTTACCAATAATATCTTTTGTGAATGGGAAAGCTTTTACCCAATGTTTCAGTCTTGCGTCATTTATTTCTGTAGTTGGTTTTATTTTGTCAAGGAACATGTTTTTCAATACTAACATTTCATTTGGTACTGTCCATTTGAGTTTTCTTAAATATTCATCCCTTCTCAGTTCATTGTCTGCAAAGTAAGTTTTTATGACATTTTGCAAACTTTCGTTTGCAAGGTCATGTACAATAGGTTCTCTTCCTTCTCTCTCCCTAACTTTCTTTCTAAACTCTTCACCAAATATACCATCTTTATGGTTCTGTGTAGTTCTTTGAGATAAATGTTTTAGAACGTCAGGTGTTATATTTCCATCAGCCATGTTCATTTCATACTGGTCCAAAATATCTGCATGTTTCATATCTTTCAATGGCATTAAAGCCGCGCTGAAAATACCAGCTATATCTGGTTCACCATTCACTTCCATTGCGTCTACAACTTCTTGGAATTGTGGTTGTAAGTTTATGAACCACCTATCCGGATTAGCTTTATGACCCCATCTCATTGTAGTTCCATAGTCTGCAGAAACAAAAGTAGGTTTGTTTCCATATTGGTTAGGTTCTGAATGAACTTTAAACAATGTTTCATTTCTATATGTTTTGGTGAAATTTAACCTTTTATTTTCACCGAGTTCAGCCAAAGATTGAACGTTATATGGTCGTAAGTAAAAAGGATTGTTGTATTTGCGTACACTTTCTTTCAGTTCTTCCATTCTATGCTGAATATTTTCATCTGATGTTGGAGTCTTTTGTATGTCGGCGAACATTTTTCGATATTCTTCTACTATGTCAGCCGAATTTTTCTTAGACTCTTGGAAAGATTCCATATTCTCCGCATACTCTTGTTGAGGGTCAAGATTTTTCGGCTGTTCCAAATCTTCATCTAGTTCTGTGAAGTTAGTTTCCAAAGGAGGGACTTGTTTGTTTCCTTCAGGCTCTTCTAGCTGTTGTTGCTGAACTATTTCTTCCATGTCTGGTTGTATCTGAACTTCTTCCTGTGGAGTTTCTTGTACCTCATCTGCTGGCATTTCATATATTCCGAGACCGTTTTTAACAAGTTCCCTATCTAAGTCATCCGGACTCATAAACCTTTCTTCTTTCGTTCCGTCTCTATTTTTTACGCGTTTCATGAAGAGAGTTGAATTATCATTTAGCTCTGACACCAAATATCTCGGAGTAAATTCAGTCATGTCATTTGGATGATATGCTATTAAATCATATCCCTTAGCGAGCTTGTATTTTCCAGGTTTGAAATTATATCCCATTTGGTGCTGAACCATAAAGCTAAATAGGTTCGGGTCAGTATTTCCTTCCTTGAACTTTCTAATAGCTTCTTTATATCTGTCACTAAAGTCAAGAGTATCTGGGTAACCATAATTTTCCTTAAGCATTTTTAAGAATTCTTGGTTTCCTTGTTCTCTACTTCTTTTATGTCCTTGCTCTGTTTGTGGTTGTTGCTGTGCAGTGTTTTGAACTGTTGGTTGTGGTGCAGTGTTTTGAACTGTTGGTTGTGGTGCAGTGTTTTGAACTGTTGGTTGTGGTGCAGTGTTTTGAACTGTTGGTTGTGGTGCAGTGTTTTGAACTGTTGGTTGTTGTGTTGGTTTTGGTGCATGCCTGTGTCTGTGTCCATGTGACGATGTAAATGTTTTAGGTAGTCCTGGTGCAGGTGCTTCTCTTGGAGGGTTTGGTGGTATATAAGTTCCACTAGCTAGTATATAAGTTCCACCAGCTGGTATATAAGTTCCACCAGCTGGCGCATATGTTCCATCTGCAGCATAATGTCCTACCTGACTTTTCGTTCTTAAGAAAGCATTTACTAGGTCTGTTTTGGTCTGTTGTAACTCTTTTTCTTGACTTTCCACAACAGTTGCTCTAACGGCGTCATAGGCACTTTGAACTGCCTGTCTCGTTGCTGCATCTGTTATTTTCGTCATATTTTGTGCTACTTCTCTTAACTCGTTGTCGAAACCTTCAGACTTCAGTTTCTTTCCAGATGAGAAGTCGTTCACTAGTTTCACCTTACTATGAAGAGCTTCGAAAGCATTCTTAAAGTCAGCATTCATTAAAGCTTCATTTGAACTGTCTTCATCCGCTTGTATTTTTGTCCTTATTGACCCTATAAGTTGGGCTGCTTTAGCGTTGGCTTGGGCATCTAACCAGTCATTGTTAGCTTTTATATATTCTGCGCTTTTCATTGCCTTTTGCATGGCTGCGTCGTTATTTTTACTTTCTTGTGCTAAGTTTTCATACTGTACGGTTTGGTTTTGCAACTGTAAAAGTTTTTCTGCCTTTACATTTGCTTCAACTTCTTTTTTATACTCATCGCTATCCATATATGTCTTCAGGGCTTTTTGTTTTATCTCTTCATCTTTCAGTACTTTATATTGAGTAGTATGGTTTTTCAAATTTATAACATCTTGTTCCATTTTTGCTACTTCTGCTGCTTTTTCTGACACTTTTTTCGCATATTCCTCTGTACTTAGTTCTTTCAGTTGTTCTTCTTTCTTCTTTTTCTCTACGTTTAACTCATTTAGTTTCTTTGTCTGTCTGTCATATTCTAGTTTCTTTTCGTTTTCACTTATTTGTTTCTGTATGTCTATGTTTGACTTTTTGACATCTGTTATTTGATTTTTGAGTGAACTCAAATTCATTTGACTTTGAGGGTTATAAGCTGTTCCGTCTGCAGCTCCACCATAGCCTGCCATTTTCGCTAAAAGTGCCGCTCTTAAACCTCCACTCTGTGCACCAATAACTCGGTTTAAAAGCATAGGGTTGCTTGACATTTGTTGCAACATAGTGGGGTCATTCATAATTTGTTGTTGCAACTGTTGTTGTGGTGTCAGTTTTACTATGGGATGTTTCAATGCTCCCTTCCTCTTACGTATATTCTTACGTAGCTTACGTGGCATTTTAAGTGAAGTAAAAAACGGTTTTTGACAGATGTTTATATGACACTTTTTGTTCAGCACAAAAAACTACTCAGTCAAAGTGTTGTCAGTTTTGTAAAATAACCGTTTTATCTCATTCTATAAGGGGGAAAAGGCTTCTCAAAGTATACTTCCTTGGAACGCCTGTAACTTTTCCTGTAGCGACGATAGACCCTTACTTGTCCGGACAAAGTTATACTATTTTGAGTGCTCTACCAAAAAGTCAACGGCTGGCTCGTCCTCAGAAATTTTTTATGGGCTAGAGGGCGCAACGCGCCTGGAAGCCCTCCGAATAAAAACTTCATTTATACTAAACATCTTCGGGGCTAGAGGGCGCAACGCGCCTGGAAGCCCCACTACCTTTTTTTTTTTTTTGTACTTAATATAATAATTAATTTTTTTTGCTATTTTAATAAAGATATATTTATATTATGAGAGCATCTCTAAAAAAAATGATAATTTAGGAAACAAACAAATAAATATTTTTTTTATTTAATGAGGAAGAGTAGAAGGCTGTGGGTGAAATATTCTTGGTGTTCTCTTATTATAGTTTGCAAGCGAATCAGCAACAATTTTATTGAACTCTTCTTTCTTTCTGAAGTATTCGTTCTTTCTTTCTGTTGTTGCTGTTGTAAAGTATTTATCCAACAAATTGATTGTTGTCGAAACTTGTCCAATTATCTTAGACATCTTATCTTTCTCATTACCCCAAGAACCACTGATATATCTCACGCAATTCATGCCATTAAACCTTCTAATAGCTGCAATCGAGTTCAATATACCGTAAATCATTGCCAAACCCATTCCTTTTGCAGTAAATTTACAATATCCATGTATTAATTCATGCGAGCCAACTTCCATTCCGCAGACTTTTAATGTCTTCTCGTTGATGAACGCGAAAGCATCAGGCAAAACAATGAAATCCACAACGTTTGGATACTTTTCAAGTAATTCAGGAACTTGGTCTTCTATTTCATCAGTGATATTAAATGAAAAGATTCCTGCAATTACTTTTCCTCCCAATGGATCATCGATGATTCCTCCATCAGGAGTCAAAAGCGTTGTATGACTTGGCATTAATGCTTTGATTGGCCTCATCTGGTTCAAAGCCTTGTTCAAAGCATCATTAGTCAATGTTGTTTTGACTTCTATAACAGCCAAAACGGAATCAGCGGGGATTGGAGCAATAACAGATTGACTTGTGTCAATTGTCAATGAAGGACATAAATCATTGACAACGACAACATCCAATTGACCTGTTAAATTGGAGTTTGAGTCAATGATTTCGCCTGTTGTGACTCTGAATCCTGGAGGTAAATGTGATGATAAGAACAAGCGACAAAAAGATTCTCTGTTTGAAGAATCATTGTTTTGAACGCGAAGTTCTTTATCTGAAGCACTTGCAAGAGACATAAGGATGTCAACTTGAGCTTCAAAATGTTTCTGTAATGGAGGACTCTTCGGATTTGCGAAATCAACAATCCATTTGTATAATTTTCCATCGGAGTCGTTGATTTCGGGTGTTGCGTATATAACTAACTTAGTCGGGTCTAATCCAGGAATGGGAGTGTTGATGGAAGAGATAATTACGTCAACATCTTTAGTTTCATTAATAATTCTCGACAAATTGTTCAAAGCGGCATTTCTCTCGTCCAATACATTGGAATTGGTTGGTGATTCAGTTCTGTTCTGCTCCGGTTCGTTTTCACTTTCTTCTTCATTCAAAACATCATTGATGTCACTTTTTGGATCCGAAATCTCCAATGAAGAAACAGGGACAATGTGGGATGGCAAAGATCCTGTTGCGTAGTTTAATAACTCTGAGGAGTCGCCGCCTTCGAAAGAGAAGGATTCCATCGATGAGTTAACAGCAAGATCGGTCTGTGAAGGAAGTTGTGGAATCGGCAATGGAGAAACGGCTCTTGGAATGGAAACTGTCGTTGTTCTACCTTTTACAGTGACTCCTTCGCCGGCATTCGACTGAGAAGGTGTGACAATTTCGGATGCACCGTATGTGACAGCAAGTTGGTTGGAAATACCAATGTCTTCCGAGTAATCAATTGTCATGACTTTTTGGCCAAAGATCGTAGAGGTTGCCACGCCATCGAAATCGTACTGGGAGCTGGCATAGAAGACTTTCGCTTCTTTGAAAAGGGCGTCGATCTCGTCTATGCGGGATTTTGGTAAATGTGTTTGTCCTCTGGTCAAAACAACCTTCTTTGAGGCTTCGTGGACGTTCACAAGGCCTGGCCAAAGTGAAAGAACACGAGGACGTAATAGGGATTCGCTTGAAACAACACAGAATTGAAATTCTGATTCAATGTATGGAATATCGCATTGATATGCATCTAAAATGATAATATCTGCACACTGCTCGGCACATATAATGGCTTGGCGTGTATCACTGGTCGCAAATATCTTGTAAGCACCGCTATTTTGATATTGTTTGATTTGATACTCATCATCGACGCTGAAAATATTCTCTGGTATCTTTGATGATTCGTCGAATTCAAAATGAGGACAGTCATCGATGTTTAAGACGTCATCTTGTGAGATAATAGTTGTTAAAGGATAAATAACGGCAACACGCTTGCCTTCGCGAGCTAATATAGAGCAGAAGTATCTTGCTAATTGAGATTTACCTACTTTCGGTGCTAATGACGAAATTACGATTGTTCTCTTAAATGTACGAACTGTTAATAATTTCTTGGGTAGAAATTCAAAACCACATATTCCAGTAGCTAAAATTCGATTTATAATTGATTGTAAATCTTGCATACTGATATTTGTTGTTTGAATTGCGCATCTTTGAACTTGTCGTTTATGAATAATTCTTTCTAAACTTCTTAATGAATATACTGGGATTGGTGATCTGAAAATTCCTTTAAATCCTTTGATTGGAGGAGGATTTGGAAAACAATGTACAAAACCAACGATTTCTCGTTCTGGATTTTGTGAATAATAACGCCAATACAGGTGAAATGTCGTATAATCGCATCCTAAAATTAAAGTTCTTGTTCTTGGAGTTTGCGTCGCCATTTTTTTGGAAAAAAAATTCTGTCGCGTTAAATTCTCACTTATAAATCACTCATTATCTCACAGATATGATATGAAGACAACTAGTATAATCTAAATTTTCATTATTATTCCTCTAAATAATCTCCATGGGGACTTCTGAGTTGATTGGCTTCTAATCAAGATAATTTCTTGATTTTAGTAATATACTTAGAATGTTCAAATACTTGAGGACTAATAGACGAAGAATGGAAGAAAACTGCAAGATGGAAATCGAGAAGATATTATTCAAATTTATATTCGATTATTTGACCGGTAAATAAGCATGCTTGTACTACCAATCAGTTTTACAGAATATCTCTTGCGTTATTGCATGTTTTGGATAAATATCGAGTATTTTTCCTAAAATAGTCATTTTCCGAGAAAGGATGGTGATTGATTGTAAATCTTGCACATCTATATAATCTATTTAATAGATATTTATTGCCTAATCAATTATAACAAGAAATAATAATAAACAAAACAAAATTATTTTATTGATTTTCTGCTTGGATGAGGTAAAGTTCGGAACCATACTTTTGAATCTTTTGGTCGAGGCCCTTTTGCATTCTTTTAAGTTCCTGAATCTGAGAAGTGAAGTCCATTCTTACTTGTTCGATTCCTCTTATTCTTCTTTTTGCCTTTCTAATTCCAGAATCTCTTTCAGCTATTTCTGATTTTAGAAGAGCAATTTCTCTATCTGTTTCAGCTATTTGGAACTTCATTTCCTCTGATTGTTTGGATAAATCTTCTGCACGAGTTCTCAATGATTTATATTCATCACTTTTACTTTGTTTTCTTTGCAAAGTATTTGATTTAACTTCTGCAGCTTCTGCGTTAATTATATCCATCTGGCATCTCCATTTATCTGCATGTTGCTTGTATCCTGCAGCAGCTGCTGTTATATTCTCAACAGCTCTTGAGGATTCAGCTACAGCCCTTTCTATTTGTTTCTTCATTTCATCAATTTCTTCTTCTTTATCATTCATTGCATTTTCCATATCAATTTTTGATTGAGAATGTGCTTGAACGATTTGTTTCCTAAGTTCTCTGTTTTCTGCTGAAATCCTCTCATTAGTAGTGATAACTTCATCACGTTGTTCGATTGCTACTTTCACTTCTTCTTCCAAATTTTTGCCTCTTTCTTCTAAAAGTTGTAATTCATCTCTGCAATCTCGAGAAATTTGAACAATTTTCGTTTTAACAGAACTAATTCCATCTGCGAATTTGTTCGAATTAACCTTCATCTCGTCTATCTTTAATATAACTTCTTCACTATCATCTTTCAATCTCCTCATTTCATTCAAAAATTCCTGAAAACCATTGTCACCTTTTTTGTCAACTAATTTTTGATTTTCTTGAGTAGCTAAATCGAGTCTTCTCTGAACAACTGCTCTGTCTTGTACGGTTTCTTTATTCTCTGTCTCTATTTCTTTTATTTTAGTAGTTATTTCACTCAATGCGTTTGCGTAACCTCTTTCTATTCCTTTGCAATGTTCATCCAAATTTCTTGACAATTGTTGTGATTTTTCTCTTGTCAAATTTCGAATTCTTTGGATTTCATTTGAAAGTTTCAGATTAACAGCACTTTGCTTTGATACTTCCGCTTTGGCTTGTTCTGATGTCTTAACAGCTTCAATCATTTTAGTTAATGTCATTTCTTGCTGTTGTTCTGCTTGTTTTATTTTGATTTCTGTTTCTTCTAATTTTTGAACTAATTGTTGATGTTCTCCGTATTTATCTTCGAGTTTTTTAATGGTTTTCTCATTGTCAGCACGCGCTTTAATGAGTTTGTCACCTGTAATTATTAAATCTTTTTGTGTTTGATGCAATGCGTTTCTATGACTAATAATTGTCTGTAAAAATAGGCGGATTTTCTCATTTTGCTTTCGGAAATCGCGAATTATCTTTGAGCAATCAAGAAGATGCTGTTGGTATATATCTCGGACGTTTTTTTGCTTCGTTAATTCTTGTTCAACTTCATCGTAGTATTTTTCAAGTTGATCACATTCTTCTTCTAATGCTTGAAGATCTTGGCGTTTTTCTCTGCATAAACGATCATATTCTTGAATTTGTGAATCAACATTTGTGCTAAAAGTATCTGCGCTTTGATCTGTGCTTTCAGTTGCAAGATCGCTTTCTATTTTCTGTATTTCGCTTAATACATTTTGTTTTCGTATTTCATCTGCGTTTTTTACCTTGATTTGGTGTTCGACTCTTTTTTGAAGTGATTTTAATTTCATTACTTTGATCTCTATGTCTTTGTCAAATGCAGCTACTAATGATCCGAATACTATGTGATTGTTTAACCAGAAAGGAGGATCATCAACGAATAATTCTTGGACAGCGCCATCAATTTCATCATTTTCCGGATCACTAGTCAGTGACATTAGTTTCAGCATCGCTTTCCATAAATCATTCCGCTTCTGTTCCGTATTTCCTTTCCTCATTTTTGATTTTAGCTGTTTAGAATTTCAAAATCTTTATTTCTATGAAAAATAAAATCAGCAAAAGAATGATGTAATTAGCCAAACAAGCTAAGGCATGATTAATTTTCAGTCTTTTTACTGGTTAAACATCCTAATTTAAATGTAAATTTGTGTTGTTCTTCCAATTGAACTTAAAGAATCATATCACCTTCAAATTTACCTATATGAATGATCATCTGTTTACTTTAACTGCATCAATTTATTCAATGTTAGGAATTAATTTGCACATGATATCTATGATGCCATTCTTGTTCTTGCTATAATAATTAGCTATTTCTTTATTAATGTTGTACATTAAACGAGCTTCTATAGAGGTTTTAATTAGAAATAACAATATTGAGAGAGAGAATGATAAACACACCGGGCTTTAAGCTAAAAATAGAAATGACCCAGGTCATTATCACTTTATCACCTACATAGTGTCAATAAAAATAAAAAAAAATAAAAATTAATTATCGAAAAACATTATTGATTTAATTATAATAATAAACTTTGTAGGTAAAAATCATTTCTAATTCTAATATGAAAGTCTGTGGCACTTGCCAAAAGAGAAATCCGAAATAATTTTAGCAGCAACCGGATTTTTTGTTACTTGTTGTAACAATATTGAATGAATTGTTTGTTGTAGATTCTGCCTTAATTGTTCTCCAAATCTTAGCAGAAGTTCTCACGAAAGCTTCTCTAACATTAGCTCCTGTATAAGCAGATGTTTCAATGAACTCTAAATTGTGATTAGAAGCATAGTTTTGCAATTCTGCAACAGATACTAATCTTTCGGCTGCTAAATCACTTTTATTTGCAACAAGCATGATTGAAGCTCTAGGATCGCATAATTGGCGAACGTCAGAGAGCCAGTGATTGATGTCTTCGAATGATTGTTTGTCTGTAAGGTCGAAAACGAGAAGGACGACTAAAGCTTCTCTAAAGTAAGCACGAGAGATTGATCTGAACTTTTCTTGTCCAGCTGTATCCCAAACATTAAGTTTGACCATTTCACCATCAACTTCTACTGTTGTTGTTTCGTATTCAACGCCAATTGTTGATTGAAGCCTTTCATAGAACTTATTTTCAATAAGACGCTTTGTTAATGCAGTTTTACCAACACCGCTTGATCCAATAACGATGCATTTCAATGATTGCGATTGAAACTCAGCCATATTATGAAATTCCGATGAAATGAAATTATTCAAAAATTTCAATGATCGAAAAAATCAGAAACCTCGAATTTTAATCCTATAGAATGATATTAACAATCAAAAAGTTTTTGAAATCTGTCACTTTTGAGTGTAATTTTACAATCATTGATCTGCAATTTCCAAAACTATCTCAAATATTGTTTATAATTCGAATTATTAATAAATTACAATACATTTTTACTAAATATCAGTAATTTGGGTGAAATATAACCCAAACTGTTTGTTTCCATTTTCAATTGCCTTTTCTGATGCCATCTCTAGGTAAGATAGGTCAATCATCTCAGATTTTGTTTGACAATTCATATTATGAAGTTTAATTGCTTCAAGAATGCAATCAAACGAAATTACTGAGTTCCAAATAGCTGCCTGAGTAAGCGAAGATACAAGCTCGTTCTTAGAAAGCACAAATGTATCTTTTATCCATTGAACTATTGGAATTTTTCGGAAAATCACTGCAGTTTCGAAGGAACCTGCAATGGGAAGATTATTTTGCTCGCAAATCCTAATAATTTCAATGGATCCACCAGCAACTGCGTAATGAACAAGTCTTTCGTTAATTGTGACGCCAGAAACGATCAAAAACTTAAATATTTTGATTGATCCGAAGAACGCCGCAATTTCAACTGGAGTTGCACTTGTCAACATTTTATGATGGGAAAAGATCGAATAGAACATGTATTCGTTCACATTAAAATTAGGATTGGAGCATACCTGTTGGAAATCAACTAAGTTATCTGTTGATAACATCTCCTGTATGCTTCCTTTGAAAATATGAGAATCTAGTTGCCGATCTAAGAGCTCCCAGTTGTTCTGTTGGTATTTATCGAAGTCGACAAGTATAACATCAAAGGAATTAAAGAAAAATCTGTTGTGAAATTTTGGATAATAAATGGAATAAGTATCAGATTTGTTCTGGGATAGTTCATGCGCAAATGTATAGAACAAGACGAATAACTCGTCTCTGCTGCAATGCTTGTATTGTGTAATGAAATCCTCGATTTCGTTATATGTAAACAATTTTCTACGAAGAAGGCACTTTAAAATGTAGAAATACATCTTTTTGACGTAGATAGGATGATCGTACATTACCTCGTCTAGTATTATTTCTTTTAAATATGAACTATTTGCTTCTGTTTGCAATCCAAGGATTAAATCAATAAAAACCGTTTGGAAATGAATTTGTAGCATGGCTGCTGAGAAAATTTCATGAATTAATACTTGAATTTTATCAAAACTTCGAATAAAGACCGATTTACGAATTAAAGAAAGAAAATCCTGCAAATTTTCATCCGATAGATTTAGGAGATGATTCTGAAGGTCCGAAATCAATGGTCTTTGGATGGAAGGATCATCCATCAATTCCATTGTCAGATTTCACAATCAAAAAATTCAGAACTATCCAAAATTTACATCCTGATAGAGTTTGCTACTGAACCCCCTGATAAATGAAACTAGTGTCTAATTCAGTACACGCGAAATGATCTGAATTCATTTTAAAATTTCAATTCTTATCGAATTCTCTTTCCTTCTTTCAAATAGGAGATTCTTTAAGACCAAGTTAGCACTACCACATATATCGAGACATGCACATATCAATTAAACCATTAAAATCCAAGAACAATTCCATTGAATTTTTCTAATTACAACACCTTTTTTTCTTAATTAAAGTTACCACTGATGAAAATAGCTTATGATTTCATTACGTTATGATAATGAGTCCAAAGTCACAGTTGAAGATGCGATTAGCTTTTCAGGGAAAGCGTATACACTCAAATATCCATGTTCCACATCGGATTGCACACCATATATCATTTGGCTCAAACCAGGCATGTACCGTGTCGAACGATGGGGTGCTTCCGGTGGCTTCCTTGACAACCGCGGTGCCCACGGCTCATATGTGAGTGGAATTCTCCCCATTTTCACTCCCGAGATCTTTTATCTTTATCTTGGCCAGCAAGGCGAATGGTCAGGTTCTTCCACCTATAATGGTGGCGGTGCAGGAACTATTAACATTACTAATAAAAATAACTACGTCTCTGGTGGTTCAGGCGGCGGATCTAGTGATCTCCGCCTCACCAAAGGTCATTGGAAAGATTTTAATAGTCTGAAATCTCGTATCATCGTTGCCGCTGGTGGTGCTGGTGATGCATACTATAATCAGATCATCCAGGGGGGCGCTGGTGGTGCCCTGAAAGGAAGTGACGGAAGCATTCACTCTGAACCAAATTATGTAGCTGGCATATCCCTTTCCACTGGGGGAAACCAAACTTCAGGCGGCCTTAGAACAAATACCACTGGACAAAATGGTGGATTTGGATATGGCGGCAATTGCCTGAACAAGAACCATGGAAGCGGTGGTGGAAGTGGCTACTACGGCGGTGGAAGTGGTTACTACGGCGGTGGAAGTGGTGGCTTCGTCGGTAGTCGAGTTACAAGTGGCTCTGGCGGTTCTTCGTATGTTTCTGGATACGAAGGATGTCGTGCAATCAAAAAGAGTTCAACCGTTGATTCTATATCTCACGAAGACAATTCTATCCATTACTTAGGAATTGTATTCTACTCTCCACTGATCAAAGATGGTAAGACTCCTATCCCATGTCCCGATCCTAGTAGTTCTCCAACATGCACAGAAACAGGCCACTATGGACATGGCTATGCTCGCATTACTATCCTTGGACAATACACTCCCAAGACTCTTCTACTTTGTATTCCATGGATATCTTACTCATCAATGGCATTTTTCATTCTGATGTATTCCGAAGAAAAATAAATTTAAAAATATTCTATAATAGGTTTCTTTTTTTCATTCGATATGAATATATCAAATATGAGGCTCTCAAATGAAACACCAAATTTTGATCATGCGTCTCAACGGATGTAGATTCTATAAATAGCTCCTGATTTCACTAGCATACTTTCTATTCAAAAGGATTTCCTAATAAGATAGTTAGATTCTGGTATAAATATCTTTTCCTGGATAGAAAAAGACTTCAAATCTGTATCGACATTATGAAATATAAAACAAGTATTTTCACATAATAACTATTTATATTTTCAAATAAAAACAAAATAAATAATAATTAAACAATTATTTTTGAGGAACGAAAGTCCAAAGAGATAATGATCTATCATCACGTGAGATTAGAACATTTGTTCCATTCCAAATGTTGATAGACATAGCCCTTGGTTTTTCTTCTAATACAAATGTATCTTTTGTCTTCAAAGTTCCTTCTTTTACTAGAACTAATGATTTCTCAGTCAAAACTAAGAAATAATTATCATGGACTCCATCAGGGAAATTAGTAACAGCCACATCTTTGATTTGCTCATCAAATTCCCTAATTGTTTGCATCTTTCCATTGACACTGAAAAGTGTCAAAACCGTTTTATCTTTCACTTTTTGAACTACGACAAAATTTCCTGTTGCTACGCACATAACTATTTTTGTGATTGGTGATGCCAAGTGTCCTTCAAGTACTCTCAAAAACCGATGTGAATCCGATGTAAATGTTGATATTTTTCCATCAACATGGCCTGCAATGATCATTTTCGCTTGAGATGAAATGAAAACTGTCGAAATTTTTTCCAAATGACCTCTCAATGTTGCTTTATGCTTCAAACCAATTGACGTTGCCTGCCAATGGTTGATAATTGGTATCTTGTGTCCTGTCACTATCTCAGAGTTATCTGTGTGTATGCAAATCGGTCTTATTTCATCGGCAAACGAGAAAGCACTTCCTGTTTGAGAAATTGCCAATTTTGTGTGCATGTATTCAATTTTTCCACAGCAAATTCTCACTTTGTAACTGTTAGGAAGCCGGAACCAATCATCATCCCTCTTGATCTTGTACATCTTCATACTATCATTGTATGGCAAATTATTTTGGACGTTTACAAGTGTCACTTTTCTTTGAAGTGAATAATTTCTTTTTGGATGGAAATCGTAAAACAACTGAACAGGAGCTTGTCCGCAATTATGGATCTGTTCGATAACTGCTTTCATTAGTATCCTGTCGTTTACGTATTTCTCTGGGTCGAATTGGAAAATGATTGGCTGCAAGACGTTGAATCTTTGGAAAGCCAAATTTCCTTGTCTTCTGACACCCCAAATCAAATCAATCCATTCATTCAAGTTTTCAGATGTTTGATCGGATTCCAAAGCTTTTCTCATTTCTCTTACGAGTTTCTCAGGAGAATTATCAGCCCATGGAGGCAACACAACGTTATTTATGTCCCTGTGAGTGATTGGTGATTCAGGAAACACTAAATTATTCGTGTTGACATATAATTCTGGAATTAAATAAATTTCTGCCACCATTTCTAAAGCACTTTTTGCTGATGATGACATCATTAATTCCTTTGTTATCTGCATGGATTGGAATGTTCTATCTGCTGCGTCAAATGATCCTGATTGGAATGTAATCAGTTCATCAGTAAACGGCTCTAATCTTATTAAGAAATAAAGGGAACTTCCAACGTTTGAAACGTAATTTGCAAAATTATATGGCTCAATATTCATTTGCAATGTCGCGTTGTAGTAATCGGTAAGAGATTTCTGCTGCTGAGATGTCTGTGCGAATATAGGGTACCTGAAATCTCTAAATCCCCTTGGAGTTTCCGAAGTGAAATCAGTAATTGTCCATGGAAAAATTGGAAATTGAGTGAAGTCAGACCATGACCGACCACTTATAAAATTCAGCTTCAAAATGTAGTTAAATGTCGATAGTTTTCCTTCGCACCACATTTGTGTTGCTTTAGAGAGTTCTTCTTTGTTTATTCCACTCATAACTTTCACTCCAATTCCTTGTAAAATATCAACAAATCTGTCTCTCAAAGAAGGAGTTTCCAAAGCGAAAAGAAACAAACATTCCATGTTATCTTCAATGATAATTCCTTTCGGTAAATGTTGGAACATCGTTAATCTAATACTCCGTAAATCAGAAATCTTAATTCGCATCAATTCTTCAAAGAAACTGTCACTTTTCGGTTTTTGATAAAACTTTATTGAATCTTTTGTTACAACAATTACTCCTTTGAGCATTGATATGCCTGCCAATCTCACAGCATCACCATTAAATAAAATATCATCTTCCATATACAAAGAAGGAGCAAACTGCATCACATCAGCTAAAGTTAATCTCACTTTTGGCGGCGGTTTTTGGTATTTTTCTTTCCAATAACTCAAATAAACTCTATCAATAGCCGGATTCAACGGGAACAGAATTCTTCTAACACTTGGATCCGTTGTTGTTTCATTCAAACAATATTTTGGTGGACAATCACCAAAAATAGAACTTTCTCCCATCAAACTTTGAAAAACTTCATGCCATGTATCAATCATTGTATCTATTTTCACTCCAACAGTTGTTACATCACTTGCATGCAAAGCCTGATAACTAATTGCATTGCAAACAATTGTTAACAATGCAGTAACATCTTTTTTATCTCTTTCCAAAACAATTTCTTCAAATTTCTTTAGATCTTGATCGAAACTTGGTTTCTTAGCTCTGTTTGGAGCGAAAGATGTAGGATTTTCCAATCTATCGATTGTTTCAAATGCTCTTTTGTTTTTGTTTAGTTTCTTGTGTCTTTTTACATCTTCCAAAATCAAATTTGTATTAGAAGTATTCAAAGAAGCGAAATCATCCAACATATCAAAAACTTTGTTGATTGTTTCGTTGTTGTTTATGTCTTCAACGTTTTCTAACACTTGTCTAATAAAATAAACAAGAATATTAGATAGTAATTCACTCTTTTCGCCAGGAATCAAATAAATCCTGTTGAAAACAAAACTCGCAAAAGTGACAACAAAATTTATAAAAATTGATTTGATTTTGTTTTGTGTGTTTTCAATAATTCTCGCCAACAAAAACAAAGAAACACAAGACAATCTATAATCAGGGATAGTCTTAAACGCAAATATAGAAATAAAGAATTTTTCCAACATATAATAATCCTCATTTTCCAAACATTTTTGTAAAATAACCGTAAAGAAATTACTTAACGGCGAAACCGTCGAAGAAAAAGAGTTTGAATCAATTGTAATGATTTGTGGCACTAAAAACCTATCTTCTACTATTTTAATGATCATTAGCATGTGTTCGTAACATATTGTTTCGATTGTCTTCATCTGTTTCAATGTCAAAATCGATGCAGAAGCCAAAGCAGAAATGTATTCATTGTATCCTTCATGAGATATCATGTATAATATTGGAATTGTTATGTAATGTATTCTAAATATCAAAGGATTCATCATCGCCTGGCCAAACGCATATAAATACTGCGCAATCTTTGATGAATTCCCTAAATGAATTATGACAAAACCGAAAATGTAAAGTAAATTTTGACTTTCGACGTTTTTTAGTAACAAATCTATCAATGAAATTTGGACTTTCACTGATGATGTTATGAAAGCGCCGAGCATCAGTTTGATATCTATATTGGCTCTGTATTTCGATAATAATGTTGTCAATAGAGATATCATTGTAACTGTCGATTTAGTCGATCTCAAACTCGCTGGACAAGCAACTCTCGACCGAAATTCACTTAATGGAGTGGAAGCATCGAATGCTTCATCGGTATTTGAATCGGAAAGAGAGAAACTCAAGTGGTTGATCATGATGAAACTGAATAACTTGGATATATAAGTCTGCGCAGATGTTTTGTCGGTGATTGATGAGGCCAAATTAGCTAAAACATCTAAAAAACCTCGTGTATGCTGTGTGGAGTTGGAAATCGATTGGATAATCAATGTAAATGCGTCCATTTTGATAAGAACAGAGCGGTTGTGGTCGGAATATGGTCCGTTCGCAATTGATCGGTTTATCATCGTAATTAAGTTGGACAAATTACAATGATAGAGGGTTGGACCAAACAGGAAGTTCTTAAGGAGATGGACATTGCATAAAATTATGTTTTCGTGGTAAAATGTGACAGCATAATCTTCAATTACGTGGAAATCGAGGTTAGGAGTCCACAAGAGCTGGCCAAGAGCTTGATATAGCTTCTTTTTGACAAAAGAAACATGGAATAATGGGAATCTGTTAACTAAATTATGCAATAATTTGATTGCTCCTCTTTGCTGGTCTGGATGCTTAAGGATTGCTTCCGCAATGATATGAGCAATAATCGCAGACCCTCCAAATGCTTCCAAAGAGTTAATAAAATCTTTAAATTGTAATCTGTTTGAAAACAATGGAGTATTATCAGTTAAAGAGGTCAGAATTGTTTCCTTCTTGTTATTATCCGATGCAATGGCCGATCTTCTCATAGAAATTATCTCCTGGAAAGGAGGGGAAATCGATAATTCAAATTTTTTCCCAAAAATTTCTTTTTCTTCGACATTTGAGTAAAGAAGGTTCACCCATTCAGTATATAACGAAGAAATAAAGGAGTTTCCTATTACAAAGCTTGGTGTTTGATATGCAATCGAAACAAAGTCTCTGTAAAGGAATTCTTTCATATTTGGACCTAATGAGAACAAATAAAGCAATTCCGACTTATGCAAAGCAGGCCTAAATAATCGTAACGACTGAATATCGAAACTAACATCGACTCCGCCAAGAGTTAACGAAGTTGTTGAATCTAATGGGATATCTACGTGTTTTTCGTTAAGATCGAACGAAAAAGATGACCGTTTCGTCTCGAGACGGATGTGGCAGAGATGCCAGCCTTCAATTCCTTGTCCTAAAGGGAATTTACAAATAATTTTTTCATTATCTTGAACGTAAACGTTGTTAGAATTATTTGCAAATACTATTTTATGCTTACCTGATACTATCTGTATTATTTGAGAAAGGTTGCTATGCAATCTGACCCACATTACGATAGATCCGTTCATCATGTTCGAATTGAAGGGAAATGGACTATCAATATGCAAGAAATCATTAACTAATGGCGTATTCTCTGATAATATGTTGAGAAATTCTATTGTTTTCGCTAAATCTGATGAGATATTATTAAAAATCTTGGAAAAAACATAAAAATTGCAGTTGAGAGATAGAGAAACCGCAATAAATTTGAATATTATTGGGTGTTCGTTCCAATGCTGAACGAAAATCATCAATAAATCTTCTGTCAAAGTTTTTCCAAGCAAAAACTGCCTGTAATTATCTTCTACAGCTATTTTAACTAATGTTTCTAAGAATTCCAGGAAGTTTTCGGACAGAGGAGTGCTTTGAATCCCTAATTTCAAATATAATGACAATAAATTAGGAATTATCTCTTTTGTGAAGGTCATTGATATGCCAACATTATTAGAAACCAATACTTCATTACGTAATTGGTTGTGAAAAGGAAATGCTTGGTTAGGAATCAAAATCCATAAAATTATTTTTCCAATTACATCAATGTTTGACTTATTATCAGTATAATTATCAAATAGGTCCTTAAATACGACATTTGCCGATAGAGTTCTTGCGATAATTTCATCAATTCTTGTGAAAATCAAAGTTATTGCTAAAAAAGCGTTTTTTCTATCGCTCATGCTTTCCAATCTGATCGACCACAGTACAGAAATCATCCACTGATGAACCTTTTTGGCCAAAAACGTTTTCATCAAGTCAGGATGAGATCTTGTATGAGATAAGAAGAAAAGAAGGATTGTTATGTGCCAATCAAGGGACTGATCTGTTCTAGGCAATGACGTCATCCTCTCGAAGATGGCAATCCATGTTTTAGTGATATGATCAAAATCTAAATGCGAAATGTAAGTAAACAATAAAAAAGGATGCCTAACAGAATAAGACCATAACATATCCGTCGAAAATGGGAAGTATTCCGATAAATCTATTAAAAATCGAAGAAATGATGGAGGAAGGTCATTTCTCTGTTTTAAATCAGCAAAAAAGTCGTCGTAGTCAAACCCTGAGAAATACTTAGTAAGCTGTGATGAAAGATCTGTAAATGTTGAGAAAAAAACGTCAAATGGAGAAATTTTTCCTGGTTTTACAGGAGATGATTGAAAAACGACATGGATCATCTGCTTGATGTAGTCTACACCATGCTCGTTCATTATTGCAATTCTAAAGGATTTTATGACGTATTGCGCGACATTTGAAGTATAATGGTTAAAAGATGAAAATAAGACTTTGAAAGCATCCATAAACTTGTAGTTGTTACGTAAATTATCTGCATATCGTATAAAAACTGGAGAACAAAGAGGTAATAAAATAATATTTTCATCAATAAATTCCTTTTTCGTAATTATCATGAAATATGATACGAACCCATCAATTCTATTCGGTTCTAGTTGAAGTAAAAAGTAAATTATCATTTGAAATAACGAATTATCTGTATTTGAATGAATTAATGATACTATAAAAGATTCAAGATATGAATTTGTTAAATCTGTATGTAATCTTTTGATTTCATCAGTTGGATGTGGGAACTTTTTTAGTAATAAGTTGAATTCGGAATTAACTCCTTTTTCTCCAGACAAAATAGGAAGAATTTTGGATGAATATTCATCTTCTGAGATTACTTGCACTATCCACTTTCGCAGTTCTATCTCACAAGGTGAATCTGGCTGGATAAAAGGAGAAAACGACAAAATCTTTTAGAATTGACATTTATTAATTCACCCGCGAAGTTTTATGTATGTACTTGTTTCATCATTACTAAGCTATAGACATACATATTTCAAGTAAAATTTTGCAATTTGATTAATTTATTTTGGTTACAATTTTATTGGAGTGACATTCACGGTTTAAAGATATGAAACAAGGAATTCATCAGGAATTACATTAGAAAACTATATTCCATCAATAAATATAAATAAAGAATGCAAGTAGTATATATGGCGGGTTTTGTGACTTTTTTTGTAAACGTAAGAATTCATACAATATCGAGCGATTTTGTAAGTAATTTTCATACAATCGATAAAATAAATGTATGATTCTTACAGTTTTTATTCTTACGTTTTTGAATAAATCAAGATTTAAAAATTTTCAGAATCGTAAGAAATTTTCACAAACCCTTTACATAATGAAGTAAAAAATAAAAAAATTTAAAAAATAAACTTTGAAAATTCATGTCTTACATTTTTTTGAATAATTTATTTTTTTATTTAATGATAAATGAGTGGATCAAGATTCGTAACCGTCAATCAATTAATGGATGTTCTTTCACCAATTCTTGAAAATGTTAAACAAGTAGATGTTTATTTCGATGATTATGTAGAAAGTATATATTATAAAGGTAAGTTTAATATTAAACCTATTGCTTTTGCATTTGATAATAAATTAATTGAAAATGCAAAAATTTGGGAATTAATTCCAGATATTGAATTTATAACAAATATTAATGATAAATGGTTTAAACGAATTCCAACCACAAAAGTTCTTTGTAAATTAATGATCAAAACTGAGGAAAAAGAATTTAACGGTTTAAATATCATCCAAATAAAGTTTCAGAACTAGAAAATGAAAAACTTCAGAAAAAATTAAACGATAGACTTTCAAATGATCGTATTGAAAAAATAAAATAACTAGCAGAAGTTGCATTTAATAATGAAATATTTGATGAATATAACCTTGAACTCAGTGATGGACTTTAAGTCCTGGGCACTTTATGCCTTGGGCTTTAAGGACCCGGCTCAACGAGTCATGATTTATGAAATCAATAATTTGATTTATTCGCTCTTCAATAATTTCTATTCTTTTTGTTAAATCATCTATTTTCATTAATGAGGTGATTCTTGATTGAGGAATAGATTTCAAACTAACCACTCCTTTTATTTTTGAAATTTTGAATCCATCAACTTTAAACATTTTATTCAATTTACATGTTGTCAATTCTTCAAATAATTTTTTATTATTAGCATAATAGTCATTAAATTCTTCAACAGATGAAAAATTTTTTATTTCAGTAATTGGTTTAACAACGTTTATTTTTTGTTGAACATTTTCACTTTCATTTATTTCTTCCTCCTCTGTTTCATTTATTTTTAAAATTGGTTTCATTTATCATTAAATAAAATTTAGAATATAAGTGATGAAATATATTTTTTAATTAATATTAAATCAGAAATGGCGGCAGGATTCTTTAAAAAATTATGGGATGGAATTAAGAAAGCTGCAGGTTGGGTTCATCAAAAGATTATTAAACCCATTGCAAACTTTTTGGCACCAGTAGCGAAAACGGCAGGAACTATCATAGGTGGAGTATTAGGTACTAAAGCAGGTAATCCGGCGATGGGAGCACAAGCAGGTAACGCAATTGGTGGAATAGCTGAAGGAATACTTAATAAAATAGGAGGTGGTTAGTGGAAAAATAAATAAATATTATTTTTATCTTAGTATCGGTTGAAGTCTTTGATAAACTTTTTCTCCTTTATTTAAAATTTCTCTTATTGGGGCAGCTTTTGGCGTTATTGATTCAGCAACGTCACTAATTGCTTCTTTATTCTTAAATATCCAATTTGCTCCTTTCTTCATTGTTTCCCAAACTTTATGCGCTCCTCTTTTTACTTTATCCCACAGTTTCTTAAAGAATCCTGCAGCCATAGTTGATTATTTCATTAAAATTAAAAATTCGTTTTCATCTTTTAATTTTGATTTTTTATTTAATAATAAATGACGACTAACTATTTAGTGCCAAACACAAAACCGATTAATGGAAATGTGTTTCATTCATTCGAAAAGATAAATGAAATATTCGCAAAGAATGACGGTAGAAGATATTATAGAGAACTTGAAAGTTCATGCTATGACTCTGATGCTCCATATTTTGATGATAAACAAACTCATTTAAGAATTACAAATCCGGCTCATGATGTGAACCAATTAGGTGACACATATATTAAACGCAAAGTTAAAGCAACTCTAGTTTCAAATAAAGCTTTCACATGCGATGCCGCTTTTAAATGCATGCGTTTATTCGTTGGTTACAAATCATCAAATCAAAGCTTTAAACAATTAGAAGTAGAAACTGAAAGAGGTGATGCTGGTTATCTTCAGATGGATTGCGCCCGTGAATCTTTCGCATTTGCAACATATAAACCAAAATCAGAAAGGAAAGTTAAAAAGTTTGTTCATTCGTTATATAATAATGTTCAAAAATATGATAACTCAGTATGTGGTAAATATATTGACCCTTCAGAAGTTTTCAAGAAAGCAAATGAAGAAGTTGATATCACTTTTGATATGATTATTCCGGTAAATGATTTGTTAGCATTTCAGGCGTTCGATGATTATCCTAAATCATTTGGTGAAATCATTCTTAAATATTATGTTTTCAGGGATACTTTAGTAGTTAGTATACATATCATGTGTACGGAGGCACTGCGAGCCTCCTTACCCATGATATGTGAATTTGACACTTTACAAAACCGTTAACGTATATTTTACAACACAAACACAAACACCAACTTAACCTTAAATATTTATAAAGCCGCCAACCACTTCACCTCACTAACGTTTTCACAAACGACTTCACTACTGTAAAAATAAACGTTCTCATTTACAAAAGTATTGCAACTCTTCCCATTGCTGTGCTTCACACAATAGTTCATATTCTTCAGTATCGCTGCTGTCGCTCCAATCGTCAGAGTCAAAATCACTGTCATAGTTTATACCTGTAAGTTTTGACAAAGCTAATGAAACACGCTTACCGTTTGTATCGTATGCTTGTATAAACTTTCCATTCTTCATTCCTTCATAAACGCTCAAACTAACTTTACCCTTTCTCCCTCGTATCTGATAGAATGTATTTTCACGAGGAACGAAGAACAAATTCTTGAACTCATGACCGTTGTAGTTTGTTATCTCAATAGTTTTCGTCATTTATATAAAATAAAATAAAAAATAAAATAAAAAATAAACTTAAAAATAAATGATATCACCACTCCCACACGTATGAAAACATCCATTTAAATTTAGGTGAAGTGGTGAGATCTCACCTCTTTTTTCACCTCTTTTTTCACCCTGTTGAATTCATTACTTTATAACTCTCTTCCTTTCTCCAACTCTTCCAACTTCTTCTTAAGTTCAGCAATGTTGTCCTCATGAAGTTTAATCTTCCTTAATATACCTTCTTTATCTAATGGTTGCTTTATCTTTCTAAACTGAACTCTACCATCCTTCATAGTATGAATGTAAAAACCTTCTGGAATAGTTCCTGATTTAATGTATTCTACCAAAAACTTTTGTTTCATTGCTTCAGTGACTTTAGTCGTCATTTCAATCAAATAAAAATTTTAATATTAAATAAAAATAACGTTATTTTTTCAGTAAGGAAACGCAGGAGTTTTACGATTTATTTGAGGAGTAGGTTCTGGTTTAAATGTTGAGTCGGTTTAGGAGTTGACTTTTGAACAGAGAGTTTGTACTTCCATAGGTTCAGGAGTCATTGAAGTTTTGCTTGTGAAGGCGCTGGTTTTGGCGATGGTGTCGGAGTTTGTTTAACTTCAGCTACTTCAGTATTATTTACAACATTTGCTTTATTTCTTTTCAACATCATAACTGCTCCTGCTGTAGCTAGCAAACCTAGTGGGAGACCATATCTTATATAAGGACTTGACCAAATGCTATTTTGACAGGAGCTGGTGGAACACCTAACCTTGGTGAGACTGCTCTTTGCCATTGTGCAGCTCGTAAGAAATATTCAATAGGTGCTCCATAATCGTTGGTAAAGTTTGTTTCATAGATGGTGAAGTTCACGAGAGCTTGATGAAGAACTCATTTATAAGCTTTAAAAATAAACGTTCATCCTTTATTCCTCACTGTCGTCCGTAGCTAAGTTATAGTCATCTAATCTTATTATTGGGGATGCCATTAGCACGCACCTGAATGGCAAAGCAACAATCCCTCATAAATCCAATAAGTGGCTTTGGTACGTTTTCAGTTGCTAGTTCAATAGGTCCTTTAACAGACAATTTGTATGTTATTGGAGCAGTAGATGTTGACCTTGCTGGAAGCAAAAAGTCCACTTCTGTTGGAAAACCACATAAGAAATGTGTGTTGTCATAGCTATCCCATTTATGTTCCACACTACCATCATCCACCAATGACCTCATAACATCTTCATTAAATCCTATCATATCATTGTTTGTATTGCAGGCGTTCGCAACCATTTCATAAAATACAGGTCCATATGATTTTTCAGTTCTGCAGGCATATTTCCATAAGCTCCCATGGAAAGCTGAAGATATTTAAACTTAGGTTCTCAAAATTAACATAATAGTTGTCTTTCTTTCTAAATAGTGCCCAAATA